ATCCAGTAACGCCGTTGATTTGAATGGCAAACACATGTTTTTCGTTTATAAGTAGGGTTTTGAAACTATCGCCAAATCAGTTATATGATATGTATTCATCCTGTTTCGTCTAAGATGATGAAGAGGAGAAGATTGAATTTTCCAACAATGATATGAGTAGATCTAAAGTTTTCATTGAATTTAAAGTATCTTTCTTTCCCCAAAAGTGTTCCCATCCAAGGTAGAGCAGTTTTGACATTGCCTATGCCTCATTAGCACCCCTAGCGGGACTCGAACCATGGTTGTGGTTATGCAGAGTATAGTCTCGACTCGCTAATCACTACGACACACTGCCATGTGTGCTTTTGGGCGACAGGACAAGGGTGAATTTTAAGGAAGCCTAGGCTGTGCTGTGGAGTTATAAAGTGTCGCCGCGATACTCACCACCCGGTGTCGAATCCCCGAGTGGGTGCTGATGAAATCTAGCGAGATCAAATCTACTGTCTAGCCAGGATGGCATAGGCCTCTGGGCAGCAAAGCTTTAGTGGAATTATGAAACCTGCCCACGTAATTGTGGCAAAAACTCAACTATCAAACCTAGGGTGACAAATTTATTATTCAAGAATTAGTGATATTCCCGAAGACTACTGATATGTGAATAAGTAGAATAGCAAAATATGCAATAGTTACAGGCTTAATTCTCTTCTGATAATAAGGAGACTTTCCGACCTTTGCACTTTTAGTACCTTTGTCATAAGGAGACCTGTTATTCAAAATGTTTGACGGTCATACTTACCAGCCAAACTAAAGGCTGAAATTTTCTCCATTCTGGTAGGGTAACACTTCCAGAGTCCCTCATCCTCCAGTTGTTGTCCATTGGCAAGGCTCCGCTGCATCCTGGAAGTGTCATTCCCCCAGTTGCGAACCAGTACTCTGTTCAGCTCTCGATCTGAACTTAGTGATCTGGGCAATTGGCTCCTGGATGATGATGATGATGATGATGGCGGAGATCTTTGAGAATACGAAATGCCGAGCCGGTCTCCGGTGGACGGAGGCAAATTTATTGGAGCCGTCTCGACAGCCGAAGTGAGATAGTAGACAGCTTCTCCACATCCGCCGATGTTGTCGAAGTCAACACGTCCCGGTGGAGTTGGGAAGGTATTTGCCGAGCCAGTCGAGGCGCCGACTGAGTGTCGATGATTCTGTCTGACGGGATTTTGAGGTTGGCCAATCTCAGAGGCCAGGCCTTTGCTC